GTTATAGCGATACGATCTTGAATATATTGCAAATCCGTCGCACGATTCACTTTTGAACACAATTGTCTAAAGAAATTGCTCAATTCAATCAAGGGTTCAATTACATTCTTTGGTAACGATCTTCGAATAGCCAATGGAATAAGTTGTTGCATCAGAATATGACTATCGTGGCTCTTAAGACCCCCAATACTTCTATCCTGTGAGCGCACACGACGTGATATATTGGATGAATACCCGTCGGGAACTCTTACTTCCTTCAACACTTTCAAGAACAAATCTTTTTCATCCTTGGTCATCGTGAATTGTGCTGGTGGTAAATAGGCTTTATTCGACCCTCTTAGCTGCAAATGTAGGGGTTTTCTAATATTCATATCTTGGAAATCACGCCGAGCATTAACATTATCCTTCGATTTTCCTGCAACCCCTAATATTGTCCACAACACATTGTCACAAACATTCTTCTCTATATGCATCACATCGAGGTTGTGTCTTATTAGATTGTGCTCCCAATATGGCAATTCATAAAAGATACTTTTTTTTCTTCCAGCTATGGGTGCGATGTCCAACTCTCTCCTTCTCTACCTGTCTCTTATGCCTCTCCTTAAGGTCATCCCTCTTGTATTGGGTTAAAATACCCTTAGATTCTAATTGTAGCAACATCTCAGTTCCAAACAACAATTTTGGTTTGAGTCTGACTTCCCGACTACCATCAAATGATACTTTATCCTTCCGGAATTTATGGCCAGTAGGTAAAAATCTGCGATGACCCAAGTATGATTGTTTCCTACTATGCTTCAACCAACACGATGTAGTTTCCTTATTACAACAAGGACATGCATATTCGCCTTTAGTGCTCCGTCCTGACAAGTTTGCATATGCAGGAAAATCATTAATTGTCCACAGTAAAGCTGCATGCATTTGAAACATTTGATTTGCTGATGCATCAAATGTTGGCACACCCTCATTCCATAGTTCTTTCAACTCCTCAATCAACGGTTGCATATACACATCAATCTTGTCACCAGGTCCTTTTGGGCCGTCAATAAGCACGGCTAAAATTAGAAATGGTTGCTTCATGCACATCCATGGCAGCAAGTTGTATGGAATGAGCACAACAGGCCAAGTGCTATGAACTATATTCATCGTCCTGAATGGGTTAAAACCATCAGATGCTAAGCCAAGCCTTACACTTCGGCAATCATTACTAAACTCAATATTCCGACGGTCAAAATCTTTCCATGCAAGGGAGTCAGCAGGATGCCTAAAGACACCATCATCAGTTCGTTCCTCTGCATGCCATCTCATTAACTTGGCCATCTTGGATGACATAAACAACCTCTGCAACCTTGACTTTAAAGGAAAATACCTCATCTATTTTGCAGCTATTTGTTTCCACCTGTGTTAGGACCATTTGAACCACCATCACCATTTGATTTCCATCTAGAACTGTTGCATATGACACATTTATCAAAATTGGCATCCTCGTTTCAAAACAACATGCAACTGTCGGGACATGCATCCCATGTCTCATACGTGAAGCCCAAATCTGTTGTGACCTTTTGAGCTTTATAATATGAGTCCGGGAGTTTCACACCCAACGGGAACACTTCATTCAATAACTCAAGCAACATGTCAACAGACTTGTCTGTCCACTGATTAAGCACCTTCAAATGTAGAAGTCGTACAATGAATGACAAAGATGTGAACTTCTGACAACTCGGATATAATTCACTTTGTGCATCTTGAAGAAGTTTGAAATACTTTGCAGTCTCTGCATTTGGACCGAGCTGGGGTTCAGATGCATGGGGATCAGGCCCCTGTGGTTCATCACCCTCAACACTTGTACCGGCATGTGGATTTTCCATAGCCCCTTGTATCATTCCAATCATATCATCCCCAATGTCTAAATTAGCTAATGTTTCATTCTCTCGATTACCATGCAGAGATATGTAAAATTCCCCATGATTAATCCAATGTTTGTATTTTTTAAAAAAATCATTCAAAATCAGATGCTCCCGTACACCCTCTCGTACAAAATAGTATCGATTCTCACACTTCCTACACGGACAACTGATTATCGAACCTTCAACCCTATTGGTGTAGGCAAACACAAAGAATTCATCAATCCCATTAATGTATTCACTCGACATCCTATTTGGCAAGTCAATCCAACTCTTATCCATCATCTGTACACATCCACAAAAATATCTCACCAAAGTAACTTTAAATATAATACCTACGCAAACAAAGTAAATGATATCATTCCTCTCCGCAAATAAATAAATTGTCATATTAAACGTCAAAAAATACCAAAAAAAAAAAAAAAACCTACAGAATAAATAAGTGAAAATATTTTCAAAGTCTAACCACATCTCCATAACTAAAATTTTAATTAATCGCTTACATTTACAATTTGTTTGGCTTTTCTTATGCGTAGAAATATTTGTAAGATTTTAAATTTTTTTTTAAAAAACTTGATTTTCACCTTTAAAGTGAAAAATGGGCAGAAAAATATTTTTTATTCAAATTAACTTAATTTCTATTAACAACAAATCGAACTTTTTTTTCCAATCATGCCAAATGTAGAAAATAGCAAAAACATTTCCACTAAAACAAACAGCGTGGAGCATAGCATAGCATACAACTATACAAATTAGTTTTTGAATTGATCAATGACTAAAAAGCTTACCCTTTTATATATGTTTATCAGATTTGCCATGGAAGTTCTTATCATTTTCTGTTTTCATTTTTTGAAAAATACAAAACTTGTTTAATGTATTGTTTTTTAAATAAATTTCTGTTAACAAACCACTTTCTAAGAAAACCTTCAAAAAATTGCTTTCAAATTTTCAAACACATTTATTTATTCGAGTTTATTTATTTGTCGTTTACTTTTTAGGTCTCTATAAAAAAAACTATCTACAGATTTTTATTATTTTTTTTGATAAAAAAAAATTCTGTAGGTAAAAATTCATCTACAGATTTATCTACAGATTTATTTGCAAATTATATACAGATTTATCTACAGGGAGTTATCTACAGATTTATGTATATATATATATATACAGATTTATAAAAAAAATTGCATATATATACAGATTTATAAAAAAAAATTGCATAATATATATATATATTAATCAATAGACAGATTTATATATATATACAGATTTATAAAAAAAAAATTGCATATATATACAGATTTATTAATCAATAGACATTTATCTATATATATATATACACACAGAGAGAGAGAGAGAGAGAGAGCATACGCAGAGAGAGAGAGAGAGAGTCGTCGCCGGAGCACCGCTACCTGTCGCCGTCGCCGCTGCACCACCGCTAGCTTGCTCGCCGCACCACCGCTACCTGTAGCTCGTTTGAGAAATTTGGGGGATGAAGTTAGGGATTTGGATTTGGATGAAGTTAGGGATTGGAGGAAAGGATCGAGCGGCAAGATGAAAGGGAAGAGTGGGGGAATTTTTATTTTTACTTTTTGCGACGGTATGTTTTAGACCGTCGCAAATGGTAGTCAGTAGTTCGTAAAACGGTGCCGTTTCAATAATCTTTTTTTGCGACGGAACTTTGCTGTCGCAAATGGGCCACTGTTTGCGACCGCAAACATATGCCATCTCAAAAAAGTTGTTTTTTGCGACGGGACAAAAAACTGTTGCTAATACTTCCGCATTTCCGACCCTTCCGCGTAGTTTTATTACCGACGGGACAGTGCCATCGCTAAAGGCTTTATTTGCGACGGTTGAAGTTGCCGTCGCAAAAAAATTTTGCGACGGGAGGCGCGCCGTTGCTAATTCTTCCGTGTTTTTTACTATGTTTTCTTATAGTGTTATAATTTTGTCTTAATTTAGTCCAATTTACTACAACTCTTAGCATTTTTTATGAAAAATACGCACATAAGTATCACACACCATATTTTTAATATCAAAATTATAACCTTACTCAACTCAGTTAGTTAATCTCAATCATTATAATGATAAATTTTTTAAAAAAACACTAACGATATAATTAGTTAGACCAAATTAAAATGAAATCTAAAATGAAGAATTAAAACTGAGCCAATTAAAAGTGTAGGAATCAAAATGACATAAGAAATAAAATATACAACCATCAGTATAATTTTCTCCTTTCCTTTTTCATATATTGATTATGCGTGGTACGTTGCGGTTGTTAAAAAATGTTGATAAAAAAAAATAACTGAAAAAAAAAACAATTTCAAAACTTCTTTTTTTATTGCTAATTAAGTGATAGAGTTTTTGTTAAAACCCCCTAACTAGGAAATGTGGTCACTGTTGTGCTAAAAATACAGTAGTGACTGTTGTGTCTCAATTTAAGGTGCATTATGAGCTTGTTATTATGATCTCAACCGTTCATTTTGTAAGATTTATTGAGTACTTCATGCCTACCAAAAATAATATTAATCGGATATCAATAACTATATGATTGAATTGCATATTTTTTATGCTATTTTTGAAAAGAAAAACTTAATGTTTATTTTTTTAATTATCAATCATATAGTTGTTAATATCTGATTAATATGATTTTTGGTAAACATGAAGTACTCAACAAACCCTACAAAATGACCGATTCAGATCATAAAAATAAACCCATAATGCATCTCAAATTGAGACACAACAGTCATTGTTGTGTCTTTAACACAGCAGTGACTCTAATTCTCCCTAATTATCACTTCTAAAATCATCTACAATAACGTGGTAGAAGATTGTGTCATAAGTATTTATTTTTTACAAACTCAATAGTTGACATGTAATACATTATTGGATTTTAAAATGTTATATGTGAGATGAGTGAACTACATTTTAAGTACCAAAACTCCTCTATGATAAAAAGCTAAAAAAACAAAAAAAGGATTCTCATTGTGCATAATAAGAAATTGTTGCCCAATTTTTTTTTTTTTTTTTTTTTGT